CAAAGACAGGTTAGTGTCAAGATAAGTTAAGCAAGAGAAAAACAATAACACTGCATTACATTTTTTTTTACAAGACATAAGAAAGACTGAAGCTGACCTGGCCATCTATTCCCAGTAAGATGATCATGGTGAAAAAGCACACAGACCAGACCTGAGGCCATGGCAGCAGGGTCACAGCTTGTGGGTAAACTATGAAGACAAGTCCTGGACCTACAGAGTGAAACCAAGAACAAGTGTCACGGATTCAAATATTGGGGATGGATACAAGAGGAAAAACCAAAATAACAACACTGGTCCGGCCGGGTTGAGTCAAACGATGATTTTAATGATCACACGCGTGGGAGATGGACGCCGTACGCAGACAGCATCAGATCTCAATATGGTGGAGCACTGATCAAACTCTTATAGCCTCTAGTGGCCCCCACCTAATCATAAAAGCCTAAACATTCACATTCTTTCTCTCACACGGCGCCTAAGCTACGACCATGGCTCCCTGTTTATCTGCTCCTGCTGAGATGGGGCAGAAAACCTCTCCGGTATGTTCTGTTCTCTTCTAATCAGACAAATAAGGCGATGACTTTCTGCGAACAGTATTTCTTATAACTCAGCAGTATAATGCATCATAAAACAATATCATTCATTCACAATAAATCAGCAGTCTAATGTAATGCAAATCAGTTTAACAAATGTAATAGTTATCACCTTCTTCTAATTCAGGAGAATAATGCAAACTAAAACTACATAATAATTCACAATCTTTAATTAGGGGTCTAACATGGCATAAAATAATATTATAATCCCACACAAGTAAATCATGTCAGAGTGCCACAGTGTCTTTAGTTTACGGAGAAATGTTTAATGCATTTTAAAATTTAGAAGGTTCCAGGCTTAATAATTGTCATGAGGAAAAAGATTATTTCTCAATTAACAATCCGTAACTTTAGAGAAAAAAAACAAAACACATGCCAGTCTGAAATCTAACCAAGCAGGTGTGCAGCCTCACCTGATTCAGCAACTGTAGCAATGTCCATACCCTGTTTTTGTGACATGTAGCCCAAAACTGAGAATATCGCAAAGCCCGATACGAAGCTGGTCCCACTGTTCAACAAGCAAAGATAGAAGGAGTCTCTGCAAATCAGAAACAAAGCTTGCTGTCTTTATTTGTGAATCGGTAACGTACAACAAGGACTGACACTGTGATAACAAGAAATTACTAAAACTTCTAAAAATGTCTCTGTGTGTGTGCGTGTGTGTCTTCTGTTCTTCGCCTATCCTGATGCACACTTAAGTTTGGGTTTTTTTGTGTGTGTGTGTTTGGGGTGTGTGTCATATTTATGGAAGTTGTGCTGATGTGAATTTAATTCTTCTTCATGCTGTATCTCACATTTTGTGTTGTTCCTGCATTATCATAACAGTGTTGGTCAGTGCTATTAAATTCTTTTGTTTGGGTGCAGGCTAAAGTTACATTGACTCATAGTAAGGGTTCAACACTTGTAATGAAAAAATTTAATTAAGATTTTGAATCTTTTACACCAGTCTTATTAACTGATAATTCTTTAGCATTAGGAATTAGCAACTATAGTAGGAAATAATTGCAAATTGTGATTTAAACCATCAAATTAGATCTTCATCAGGTAGTCACCTATAACAGTTATTGTTGTACTTGTTGTAGCTTCCAAGTGTAGTCAGGCATCCCAAACATATGGCATAAGAATAAAATATTTGTGTTCCAGCATCCATCCAGACCTGTAAACCAACAAAAGATTATTTTTCCAAAAATGCTGCTACTAAATGCTGTTGTCGTGGCACAAACATCAAAAGAAAATAGACTAAATCATACCTGTGGGTCTGCAAGCCGTGCCGGATTGGGATACAAGTAGTATTTGATCCCATGGAAAGCTCCGGGAAGAGTTATTCCTCTGACAAACAGCACAGCTAATGTGATGAAGGGGAATGTAGCTGTGAAATATGTAGCCTGTAAAAAAATAAAACGGGAAATACAAAAAGTACACCATAACTGACAATAGAGGGCATGGTAACATTTGCAAGGGGATATGTTGTGACAATGCTGTGATTTTTTTTAAATTTCACCAATCCATCAAGGTTACTTAATAAGACTATCTTTATTTATTGTTTTTTACAATCTTGAATTTTCTAACCACAATTTCTTGTCACAAACACAAACTGTATCACTTCAGGAAAAAAGGCACCAGTGGATTAATTCAATTAACTCCAGTGATTTAGGAAGAAAAGAAGTTACTACACGCTACAGTAGGTAATTATATGGCAGAGACAGCTGGGATCTATTGCACACGTCTCTCCCACAGAGAGATTTCGCAGTCAGCACTTCCAATTCACTTTCTCACAAATCACAAGCCTCACATGAGTCATGCCTATCCACTGAACGAGGCACACGAGAGTCTTAGTGTGTTTCATAACGTTTCGTCAAACTGTTGCTTTCTATATGAAATTAAACTCGCAACCGTATTTGACATTAGCTTGCTCGTGGCTGCTTTAAGTTTATGTTTGAAAGATTCAAATTGTTCAGTTACTTTTTTTATCGGTCTAGACAAAAAAACCCTTTGGGTTATATAGACTGAATATGTTACATCACAACATGTGGTTTATCTATCTATCTATCTGTCTGTCTGTCTGTCTGTCTAACTATCTATCTAACTATATGAACATATAAAAAGAGATGACGGAAATACGATCTTAAGATTGCTTAGGTCTATTAAAAATGTCACTGTGTAAAATTTCTAATTTTGTAACCCTAACGTGCAGTACCATAGGCTGTTATGTGTTGTGGTCTGCTTTGAAAGCTAAGCACACGTAACACTGAACTATTGGCTTGGCAGCAGCCCAAGAAAAAAAAAACTGTGGCTGTCTGGGTGTTCTGGTCTGTTATTTTCCATGCCACACCTTAGTCACTCAACCATTCTCAGTGAGGAAAAGTTGTTGTGGGTGATTTTAGAACAGGAGGGAAAGTGTTTCAGATTATTTATGACCCCTTCATCATCAAGTAACCACTGATTATAACGTTTTGTGAACTAGACATCCTGTACTATGTCCGTCATTGAATTTAAGTGCCAAACATTAAAAAGGATCTCCTTTGTTATCTTCTTTGTTAAGCATGCGGTGTGTGCTAAGTGGAACACAAGTCTCCTAAAGGGGTTTTTAGTACTCAGCTGTAAAAGGCTGATGGGGTTTTTTCATCACCCTGCCGCGTGGGCTGGTAAGTGGGTGGGCTGGTAGGCGGGTGGGCGGGCATTGTGGTCACCCAAGTTTCTGAATGCAATAACTCAATAATAAAGCGACGTAGGAGCTTCAAATTGATAATACTGGTGTATCTACTACAAATCTCGGACACACATTTGTCATTTTAGTGTTACCTTTCCTGTGGATTTAACTCCCTTCCAGACACAAAAGTAGCAGATGACCCAGGCTAGAAGAAGACACAGAGAAAGTTCCCACTGAATGTTTCCCAAGGCCTCTATGCCAGAAGATATGTTCAACACCCGACGCCTGAAAGATGATGCAGTGTTAGTTAGATGAATGGCCTTTTAAAGCAGTATGTGTTGTTGTGTAAAACTTCATCTTTGGACTATAGTTACTAGTTAAGATAAAAAAAAAAAACATTTTTTACCATTACTGTCATTACCTACACATATGTGTGAGTTTGGAGAGGGCTACAAAAATGGGCAGCATGTGAGCATGCGTGAGTTTGCATGTTGAAAATCCAATACCCAGGAACATTTATATCAGAAAGGAATGTGTTTTAAAAAAATATTATTAGTTACATATTTGATTGACAAGTCACTGGGGCCGACATAAAAGACCTGATGAAGTTGAAGTTCATTAAACTATTCAGAATGATACATGCTTGAATGTGCAATTAAAATCACTTCACACCTTTAGTACACAGGTGTTTTCAATTATTCTGGTTGATTGATCCCATCTCAGTGCTGAGAGGGAGCTATGCTGACAGATGTTACAGCATATGCTGTTACACGTGAACTGTCTTGCTCAGGAAATATGAGTCACTCAGATAAAGCAGAAGATCTGAATAAAACTTCATAATAGTGCAGATTAGGTAATTTCTTTGTTTTCACGTTGTGTTTGAAGGTGTTTTCAGTTAGGAGCAATCAGACATCTGTGTGGCGCTAAGGGGACTCACCAAACTACCTGATAAAACTGGCAAATTTGTCATAGCACATGCAAAGAAACACACGAAAGCAGTGTGGAAAAACAAAGAGCTGATGTGGCTGTGGCATCGACATGCAGAGCTTTTATCTTTAGTATAGTCAGTGTTGGGAAGGTTACTTTTAAAATGTATTCCATTACAGAATACAGAATACATGTCGCAAAATGTATTCCGTTACGTTACTCAATGAGAGTAACGTATTCTGAATACTTTGGATTACTTAATATATTATCATGCTGTTTACAACTAAATGAATGTACTATTGCTGTGATTTATTACTGCTACTGAAGGTCCGCGCCCCGAACCGTAGTAAAGGGACCTCTGGCTAATACGGTGCCGAAAAATAGCTTTACTTTGTTGTCTGGGTCAACTTTGCTAGCGAGAGACAGAGAGAGGCGTTGAAAGGCTGCTCCAACGGAACTTATTGTTT